ACCCGCTCATCGCCAAACACCGGCGAGAAGCCAAGGTAGAGGCCGATGGTCTGGAGAGAAGCATCTCCACTTCAGAGGCCGAGGGTCTGGAGACAAGCATCATCCACAAAGAGAACCAGCCTGGCATCCGGAGTACGGATGTCCCCAGAGACAAACAACAAAGAATACCCTCCCTTTAGGAGACATATGTCCCTAACAGGTATGGAGATCCAGCGAATAAGGCAAGACGTTCGGAGGTCAAGAATGCAACAGGCAACCGTCGCGTCAAGAGCGTCGTTTTCCTCTCCGGAATTCATGGCAGAGCGGAGTATACTCTTTTTTCTCCGTTAGGATATTTTCCCACAGGGTTTTTTACTCAGCTGAGTTTTAATGAGTTACCCCACGCAAGGTTATTTTCTTGCATATGACTTGGGAGGCGCCAAGGGTATTGGTTGGCGATGTACGTCAGAGTCAATTCTACTTCCTTATGTCCCGCGCACGCTCAGAGTTTCAGAAGTGGGGGACTTGTGTTGGGTTAATGGCCCAATGGGTTGGCCCATGAACCCTTAAGGTCCACCCTACGAACGTCTCCAAAAACATAACACCACAAGGTTTGGGCCACGCGACGAACGTCGTTAGTAACAAGAGCCAACTAGATCATCCTCCCCGAATCGAGGCAAAGCTTGGCGACGAACGTTCCCAGAAGGCCCAGGACAACAGGATACCATTTCAATTAACCTGGGGGACGTACGTATCATAGCGTCCGCAGGTACCTTGAACCAGGAGCAACACCAAGGCTAAGGGGAGGTGGACATCGAAACAAGGGAAACCCAAAAGCATGAAACCCGCTCATCGCCAAACACCGGCGAGAAGCCAAGGTAGAGGCCGAGGGTCTAGAGAGAAGCATCTCCACTTCAGAAGCCGAGGGTCTGGCGACAAGCATCATCCACAAAGAGAACCAGCCTGGCATCCGGAGTACGGACGTCCCCAGAGACAAACAATATAGAATACCCTCCCTTTAGGAGACATACGTCCCAAACAGGTATGCAGATCCAGCGAATAAGGCAAGACGTTCGGAGGTCCAGAATGCAACAAGCAACCGTCGCATCAGGAGCGTCGCTTTCCTCTCCGGAATTCATGGCAGAGCGGAGTATACTCTTTTTTCTCCGTTAGGATATTTTACCACAGGGTTTTTTCCTCAACGGAGTTTTAATGAGGTACCCCACGCAAGGGCATTTTCTTGCATATGACTTGGGAGGCTTCAAGGGTATTGGTTGGCGACGTACGTCAGAGTCAATTCTACTTCCTTATGTCCCGCGCACGCTCGGAGTTTCAGAAGTGGGGGACTTGTGTTGGGTTAATGGTCCAATGGGGGTTGGCCCATGAACCCTTAAGGTCCACCCTACGAACGTCTCCAAAAACATAACGCTACAAGGTTTGGGCCACGCGACGAACGTCGCCAGTAACAAGAGCCAACTGGATCATCCTCCCCGAATTGAGGCAAAGCTTGGCGACGAACGTTCCTAGAAGGCTTGGGACAACAGGATACCATTTCAATTAACCGAGGGGACGTACGTATCCTAGCGTCCACAGGTACCTTGACCCAGGAGCAACACCAAGGCTAAGGGGACGTACATATTGTAGCGTCAGCAGGTACCTTGACCCAGGAGCAAAACCAAGGCTAAGGGGATGTACGTATACTAACGTCAGCAGGTACCTTGGCCCAGGAGCAGCAAGAGACGCACGCTCGCAGGACTTCGGACCCAGCAGGAAACAAGAGACAAGCCCATGTGGACGAACGTGCCAAGATTCTGGCAGGATCCTGCATTTAATACAACGGATTTGGTGGTTGCGCATTTAATGCAGAATATTTGGTAGTTGGGATTGTGTCATCCACAGCTGGGTTCAACGCATCTAACTACCCATTGGCAGTATAAATAGTAGCGTCTATTTCATTGTAAGGGGAGACAACTTAGTACTCTAGCATTATAGCATTGTAGCAGCTCGTAGCATAGCAAGGGACGAACGTCCTCACTTTATAGAATAGCACAGTATATGTACGTACGGCCTCACGCCTTGTAGGGACGAACGGCCTCACGCCTGTAATTCCTTAGAATTATATTGAATCTTCTTATTGGGCCTAATCTTACTTGTTTGATCTTATTCTCTTAAAATACCCACTCGAAACTCTTAGATTGTGTGTTGGGCCTATGTGTTGAAGGAAATAAACCTCAACAAGTATAGTTATTCGATTTCAGCGTTACCAAACGAGCGGTAGAAAGAGAAAATATTGAGGTTTGGATGAGGAGGAAGCCCAATTGCAGTGCTGGGTTTCTCAACAACCGCACGGAAAAATCAAATATGAGTGGTTCTTATCTGTCCATGACAAAAGTACTTTTATCTCATTATTATACATTAACCACGTTATTTAATTTTCTCGTACAGAAGACAATTCTGGAATATGAGTAGTATCTTTCGTTTGGCACAATTATGGTGAGAGTAGTTGAAATTTGAAAAGTAGAAGAAGATAGGGAAGATTTTAATACTGAGTAGAATTCATCTAAAAGTATGGACTAAATCATGTGTAATGTCTATTTTCACTTTATGAATTGAATCGGTCAATTTTCTTTTTACTAAACTTATGTTATTTAAGTTTTTCATAGTGACATTTCTGGAAGTGGAGGAGTGTCTTTCTTTTGGATTTGGCACAATTATTGTGAAAGTAGTTCTTTATCACAAACAAACAACTATATTATTACAATATCGTTCATCTAAAATATTATCACATTTGTTTAGGTTTACTTCAAATTTTAAAACCCGTTGTTCAAAATTTTTACAGCTTTTTTTGGCTCCCGGGAAATGTCAAGGAAAAGAAAAGAATGTTAACAAAACTCATTTTAATGTGTTCGCTACGTAGTATAAAATAATATGGAATATAAAATACTTCCGTTCTTTTTTAATTGCAACGGATAATTTTTCACGTTTGTCAACGTGCAAGTTTGACCATTAATATATTTCATCCCTTGTTAGTAAAAAAATTAAAAAATTTAGGTTTTGAAAATATAAATTGAAAAGAAGTTAACAATATTTTTTTTTATTTTTTTATAATACATTAATAAATAAATAGAGTCAAAGTAGAACATATGAATAGTGCAAAAACTTCAATTTTGAATTTAAAAGAGAACGGAGGTAGTAATAAATAAGTAAAGGGGGAATTTGACTTTGCACCCACTTTTTGGGTGATATTGGATTTTGCACCCCATTTTCAAAAAATTTTTATTTTGCACCCCAACACATGAACACATACCATTTTGTGAAGAAAAATTTCTAAATGGGGTGCAAAGTCAAAGGAATTTTAAGTGGAATGGGATGCAAAAATCAAAGTTTTTTCAAAATGGGGTGCAAAGTCCAATATCACCCAAAAAGTGGGGTGGAAAGTCAAATTCCCCCATAAGTAAATAAGTATATGAAAAATCAATTCTAATAATCTAGTAATGATAGCCCTATGTTGCACGGACACGGAGGGGTGGAGACAGGACATTGGGCCGGAATGGGCCGATACAAAGATTTTCTAGAAAAAAATTTATCCGAAATTTTTTACACTAAAAATTAAAATATTTTTTAAATATGGGTTGGGCCAGGGCCAGGGCCAAGGTTGGCCCTCCTCTGTCTCACCCCTGCGGACACGTGAAAATTATGAGGAAATGGGAAACGACAACTTTTGCTCAAAAACGCTTATTTGGAAAGATTTCAAAGATAGGGGTGACAGCGGGTCGGATTTATACCGAGTGAAGGCTCATCCGTCGTCCACCCGTTAGTTTTTCATAGTCCACTCACCCGTCCATCATCCATTAAAATTTACATCCACATCCAACTCATCCATCATGAACAGGTTATCGGGTGGATCGAGTGAGTAACGGGTGAATACAAAAGGTCAAACTTGAAAGACAAAATAAATAAATTATAAAAAGAAATTATGACACAAATTAAGAATTCATTGAAAAATAACTACAAAAACTTGAGCAATTAAGTATATTACAATCATTAATCCACTGCCGATGATAAAGAAAAAACCAATTGTCAAACAAAATAGATAAAAAAATTCTTCAAGTTGTCAATTCTACATTTCTGCATCAACACAAAACTATTTTTGCAGTTCAACGAGATTAGGGCTGGGCTCCTATTTTAGTCACTACAATGCTACTTCGTAGTTATGTAGTATCTGTTAATATAGTATTATTAATTATTATTATTATTATTATTTTATTTTTAAATAGATATTATAATATATGCATATATATTTATATGCGGGTCAGCGGGTGCAGGTGGATGGAGCGGGTGACGGGTCGGGTGATGGGTTGGATGAGTTTTCATCCACACCCGATCCAACCCGTCTTTCAATCCACCCGTCATCCATATTTCATCCATATTTTTTCGGGTTTTCGTCCATATTTTTGGTTCAGGTTGACCGAGTATCCGCGGGCGCGGGTGATATTGCCAACCCTATTCAAAGAGTTTCAGAGAGTTTCCGAAACGAGAAACGTATTCTTTCTCGAGAGTTTCCGTGCTACATAGATAACGCCACAATACCCCATATGACTCGACTTATATGAGTCTCCATAAAATTTTTGTCAAACAGGTCAACTTTGTCACGCACTCGCACAAGTTAAAAATTTGATTGTTCCTCGTCGACGTCATTCATGTTTACATTTGCTCTCCTTTTTCCTTTTTCCTCCAGTCACCCTCTAAATCCTCTAATTACAAAAAGAACTAAACATCCTGTTATTAAAAAATTGAGTGGTTGGATTCAACTGTGTGGTCTGCAACTTTATAGCTTCTTCATGACGCTTTCGCAGCCAACATGTGGCATTCACTTGGAGGCCGCTCTGCCACGTCGGACTACACGGGTTCCTACTGCTGCAGGTCATTAACAAGTTGTGGCCAAACAAACAAGCCTAGGGCAAATGTTTGGTTTTTTCAGTTACTCGTTTGTTGAGACTAATATATTTGATTTTGTGTTTAATTTCTCTAGCGCTTTCATAGTTCCAACTTCCAAACAGAGCCTTGATATTCAATGATTTATGAGATACAGGCTAAATGTTGACATGTTGATTGTCTTGGTTCTAGTTTTTCATGGATAGGAGAACGGATTCATGAGTGCATTCAATATAAAAGTTACAAATACCAAACTAAGCAGCATTTCATTCAAAGAATGTGATTGCCATTCTATTGTTTGCTAAGATCGATACCAGCCTTCTTAGCAACAGCATCAAGCCCGTTCTTCTCTATTGTCTTTAGAGCCTTCGTTGACAAGCGCAGTTTAACAAAGCGCTTCCCAGCCTCCCACCATATTCTTTTGTACTGAAGGTTCACAAATTGCAATCTTTTTGTCTTGTGGTTGGAATGTGAAATCTTATTCGCCTTGTTGGCCTTCTTACCCAATAAGGGGCACACCCTGCCTGAAAACACATACAATTCATTAGTTTCTTGTGTGATACCCTGTCTGATCTTTTTAATTACCCTTGCAGATCTCAGAAATTACGCTTGCTGATCACAAGGATAACATTTTCTAGAGTAAAGGCTAAAGAGACTTCAAAAGCCATTACAACCCCAATTAAACTAGACTTCAACTTCAAACGAAATATTAATAAAACGCAAATACGAATGGATATAATTCAGAATAGGTTAACTGGGTCATAAAACACTAGGCCAAACAGCAGTAAAAGAACTAATCTAATTGATTTGCTAGTTCGACCCAAGGTTTTATTAACTCGTCATTTTCTACTTGCTTATCAGGTGTGAGACTCTAACCCGAATAATAGGAAACCTAGTGATGGGGAAACCCTCAATCTTGAGCAGCTCTCATTAGGTCATGGGTCCAACTCCTTCTTGAGTAGTATCGGGCTAGCGTCCCTCTTGAACCAGAAGCAGGTCCATAACATCAGATTAATGTTATCCCATAAGTACTCAATTACAAACTTGTAGTTAGCTAAGGCTTTAGGGCCTTATCAATCTCTTATTTATACTCACTCGGTTGAATGAAAATGATATAATCCCTTGTCTAGGCTTTGGAAAGGTCAAATTTTTCTTATATTCTTCACAATAGGTCAGATAAAATACTCATCTCCCTCTCATAACAAGTCAGTAGTTCTGTACGGTGTACAGGGAGCACACGCTGGATGAAATTGTGCACTCCAGCACATACCAGACATTTCTCAAGATTTAACCTGGATATAATGGAAAAAGACTTTTCCTTTTTAATGCCTAAAGTGTGTTTTTACTTGAACTTCCAAGCCTAGAATGGCGAGAAACTCATATGATCTCAGGAGACAATTCAGATGAAGTATAATACTCCGTACAAACTTAGAAATGTAGATAACAAAAACTTCACACCAAACATTAAAGATTAGCTAACATCTCTCATTGATTGCCAAGATCTCATGAAGCAATCTGTATGTAAATTGTCTTACAGTTAACTGTTTTTCCGATCCATTTATTTTAAACATCCTAAAAACAAACTGAAGTTGATGAAACATAGTGCATTAGACCTCCTTTCCTAATTCAAGTAAATGGTGTAATTAGGCCACACACTAAGGGTGTGTTTGGGAGTTTGAGGGTGAGGGAAGGGGAAGGCTTTGAAGGGGAACAGAGAAGGGAAGGGGAGGGAGATGGGAAGGGATTTCCTCCTCTTGTTTGGGAGTTGCAAATTTCAAAAGAGGAAGGTTTGGGGACTTGAGGGGTTTCAGCGGAAGAGAAATGAAGCGAGTAGCAGCTCATAAAGATTTTATGTGGAAGCGGTTTTAGATTCAGAGGATAAATCTCTCATTTGCGTAGCTAGACCTTATAAAACCCTCAAATCGGGGGAATTAGAAAACCCAAGTTTTGGAGGGTTTAGAAGGATTTTAAATTTTAAACTCCCAAACACAAATTGGAGGGTTTATTTCCCTCACATGTCTCCCCCCTCCCTCCAAAAACCAACTCCCAAAAACAACCTAAATGCTCCTGCAACCAACTCCAGTCATTTAAAACCTACAAATGGAAGATAAAAAACTAAATGCTGACACAAATGGCAAACCCCCATAAGAATAATTATACCACCCAAAGTTTAGCAATTACCCTGTAAACTTATATTATGATTTATGAGACAAATTCACCACATAGCTTTAGCACACATGCCTAAACTACAAGCATGAAATACCAAAATTTTTACAAAAACATTTCGGAATATCATGACGGGAAATTGGTATTTGAATGTTATGAATATCCAAATATTTATCTTTTCCCCATATGTTTTTATTTTATTTTTCACCCACTGGTAAATCATGGGGTGCAGAACTGCAGTCTACTGAAATAACACATTTTGGGTGCTCTAAGGTAGCAAGGTGCTATGGGGTGCAAGCTACTCCGTATAATATTGGGATAAACATGAATAAAAATACCAAATATCATTGCTAAATAGGGAGTAGTTTGTTTCTTCCAATTATTACATGCTCAGCTAACCATATCACATTCATGATCTCTTGCAAAAGCCACGATTCCAATAAAAAGCTGAACTAAACCAAAATGTTTTTCTTTCTACACCGTCCCAAAATAGATAATTGGTACTGCTTAGGTCATTTTAACCCAAATCTAAATCACACATTTCCAACTTCTATTTCGAACCGTACTTCTTATTAGATGTGGCAAATCAAAACAGAATAATTGTTTCAGGACGGTGGGAGGAGGGAGTAACGTCAGTGAATTCCGGCTGCAGGGATTCACATAGGATTAACATTGAACCAGATGAATGAATGCTGAAATACACACATATGAAGCAGATAAAGCAGGTGGATTTTACGCGCAACGGGCTGTAGACAGGGACGGGATGGAGCAGAGAGATGCAACGAAGGATGAGAGTGGCTGTACGAAATCTTGATACCACTCAACTGTGAAGATAAAAACCCTAGCTCCTCCGGTTGCTTCCTGGTTGATATTTGAGCTGCTGTCGGTTTTGGAGTGGTGGTTGTATAACGACGGATAGCCACCGGACGTCCGACGCTCACCACTGCTGTCAACGATGACATTTTTTCTATTTAATGAAATGAAAAAAAGAATTACTCAAAACTGTATCCTATAATCTAAGGAGTATGGGTTGGTGTGTAGTCTCTTTTGTGGGAGGTCTTAGTTTGGTGTGGTAGGAGAAGCAGCTTGGAAGGTTATGTAAGTCCTGCTAGATTCGTACTTTGGAGCCAGCATTGACGAGGCTGACCGTGATCAGATCAGGATTTATCTGACTAGGAGCTTTGAAGGGTAGTTCATAGACTCCAGAATTATGGGAGCGCTTGACACCTGGATTATCAAAAAAAATATAATCTACGGAGTATATATTACTATGTACATTTTGGTTTGCAGAAGGTAGTTGTTGTAAAATATGAGAAAAATTACATTTAAATAATAAAAAAATTAGATGAGGAGAACTACTACTTTCATTTTCTAATTCTAAAAAGAGGGGTTTCCCTAAATATTACTAAATTGAACTGAAATTCTAAAAATGTGAGTACTTTTAAATATTGACAAAAAGTGATTAACAAGGTCATATATTTGGAATTATAAAACATGACGTCACTGGAAAAAATTATGTCACTGTGTTCATTTTTTCGTGTCACTGAACGTGGTCACCGTCAAAATTTCATGCCAATTACGTTGCCACCGTCATAGTGACGCCGCCATAGTGACCCGCCACAGTGACGCCGCCACCTTTCAGTGACACCCGACGCCGCCGGACCCGCCAATCATAGCCGCTGCCCACCGCTTCATCCAGTACCCAAACGACCTAGTGCACCCTGACCCGCCTTAGCCACCCTACCTTGCTCAAGCTCCAAATAGCCCGACCAACCCCCGATCCACCCCTTCCCAACTTTGATCTAGCCCCGACCTGGCACCATTTCCCCCTCGGTGCCTAATCTTCGAACCCTAGCCATCGCCGCATCACCGAACCCTAGTTACCGCTTCCACAAAGAGATCTATCTCCTTCACAATCGCCGTCGTTAGATCGACGCTAGATCTGGCGAAGTTTAACGCCACCAACAGAAAGAGAAGAAAGAGAAGAAGTTCAGAAGGCGAGGGCGAGGGTGGCGAGGACGGCGGCGAAAACCAGTGTGCGGATGGCGGAGACGATTCGATCCTCTGTACGCGGAGGGCGACGATGGTGAAGACCTGTGCGAGGAAGGCGGCGACGATCTGCTGCTCGTGGGAGGGCGCCTGAGTTTGACGCTGCTGGGACGATGAAGGAAGGTTGAGTTCAACCGTGCTTGGGCGATGAAGTAACGCACATAGAAGATCGAAGCTTGTGCAAGGAAGTTAGTCGACGTTATGTTGTGTTCGTTGCTCGGTGACTGTTTGTACTAGTTGGAGTTGGTAAAAGGGGATCATGGAGATTGGCGTCTTTCGCTCGGAATGAAACATGGCCGAAATTGTGGGATTGGCATTCAGCTTTGTTATTTGATGTGTGGGTAATTGGAATGTTTGAGTTCAGTGGCTGGATGGTTGGTCAACAACGTGGTTCCTGGTTTGAGGGTAGCCGAAAAGGCGAGGTACAACAGCTTCTTGGTCATGACTCATGAGTCAACCGGGACCCGAGCCTCTGATAAAATAATACTACCTCCGTCTCTTAAAACTTTGCCAAAGTTGACCGGCACAGAGAATAATAAAGTAAAAACTGTGTGATTGAGGATTGTGCAGAAGAGAGAGAAATGACAGAAACCACAAAATAATTGATTAAAAGGGAAAGTGACAAAGTTTTTTAGGACGTCCCAAAAGGGAAAGATGGCAAAGTTTTAAGGGACGGAGGGAGTGCGTAGTAATAATATTAAGTCAGCATTTTTTTGGATTTATTGTTATATTTAAAAAATTTATTTGATATTTGTTTTAGTTTTAAAATATTAGAATATTGTGATAGAGTGTTGAAAATGAATAGTTAAGCATTTTTTGAATATTTAATTTTCAAATATATTCACACATTCATCATATTCTAAAACATAGTTTTAGGCCTATTTGAATCAATAGTATTATTTTATACGAAGTATTTATTTTGTACATCTATAAAATATTTGAAAATGATTTATTTGTATAGTAAATATTTAAACACGGAGTATATAACATACTTTTCAAAAATAAATTCAAAGAAATACACTTATATTAAATGTTAAAAGTATTTTGAAAGCATTTTCAATTATTTTTGAATGTTATATAGCACAATAATCAAAACAATATATTACTACATACAGAGTATTATATTTGTTACGTTTTTTTATCCCAATGGCGGTCAAGAGGAGTGGATGTGGAGGAATAGCATAAACAAGTTTAAAACTCCCTCTATTAAGTTTCAAACTCGAGAACTCCCGTATAGAAGAAAGAGTCGGCGACAAATTGAACTGGACCCTTCTCTTACACACACACACACACACACACACACACACACACACACACATATATATATATATAATGAGTTCTCACAATCCCCCCCCCCCCCCCCCCCCCATGGGGTTCTATCCACTCAGGGCGGGGAAATTGGCAGGAAAGTAAATGGGTTCGCTCTTGGCCTACTACCCCAGAAAAAAATGGCAGGAAACTTAGAATTTGATGGGAAGCGCATTTAATGCATCGGGCATGAGAGATTTTATGGTTGGGGACTAGCCACTCAGGGCTTTCCATGTCACCATCACCTACTACCTTGGTAATGTAAGGGGTGTTTGAATCTACTTCTTAAAACTGCTTCTGCTTCTTGAGAGAGCAGAATCAGATATTGGGGTTGTTGAGGTTCATTCCTCAGGATCCAAAGGTCCAACACAGTCCTTTCGCCTTCGTTTGAATGTTTTCAATAAGTAAGTACTTAGGCAGATGTTTAGATGAATTAAAGTGTAAGAATTATTACACAAATGTCGAACGAGAATTCTGATCCTTTAGTCAGAACTAAAGCTATTGAGAAACTAGAGAGATGTGTAGTGCTCAGAGTCCAAAGTTGTTAACCTCTTACAATGAAATAAATACCGCTATTTATACTGAGAGCGAGTAGTTCGGAAGGGTGACATGACCGACCCTGAAAAGGATGACCCCCCAACAATAAAATACTCCATATATGATGCATTAAATGTGCTTCCCGACAATTCTGATATTTCCCGCCAATTGTCTTGGGTCTCCCTGTCGTAGGTAACCTGCTGGCATGTGGGGAGAACTCAAGTGGGGATAATTGGTCGTATGGCTGATTTAGTATGGTGTATCCCGAACTGGCCATATTTGCTGATGGACCAAGTAAGAGTCTGGGCCTCTTAGGGATATTTGGATCTGTAGTGGGCCGGGACCTAATATCCCAACATGGGTGTTTAGGTGAAAATGCAGAAGTAGTTCTGGATACTTCAAATTGCTCCCAAAAGCATTTTTTTAGAAGCTCGGGGAGACCAGATTTTGAAAAACTAATTCTTTTTCTGATTATTCTTTTAAAAACGAAGCAGACATGAAATCATTTCCAAACACCCCCTAAATAGTACTCCCTCCGACCCTTAAAACTTGGCCAAGATTGATCGACACGAGGATTAATAAAGTAAAAATTATGTGATTGAGGTATGTGCAGAACAAATTGAATTAACAAGAACCACAAATTTTATACTTAAAAGGGAAGGTGACAAAGTTAGTAGGACAACCAAAAATGAAAAGTTGGCCAAGTTTTAAGGCACATAGAGAGTATCATCCGCGGAGTATTTTATTAGAATGAGCTGACAACTTGTATTAAATAGCAGTAGCTTTTCTCCCTCCACGTCACAACCACCACCTACCACCTTGGCAGTATAAATAGGGGTTTAATGCACAAAAACCCTCATGAAATATAATTCGGCGCATTAGCCCCGTGTGGTTTAAAAATGTATCAAACCCTCCGTGTTTTAATTATTCATGCGCAAAACTCTCTTTAAGAACACATTTTACAATTTTGAAATCAGTTTCTTAATAATATGATTGAATATGCAAGTAACTTTGTCAAAATTTCTAAATTATACACGAAAACTAATCATTTTTTTTATTTGGCAATTAAATTTGTTCATAGAAGGAGTTTTGCGCATGAATAACTATAACACAAGGAGGTTTGACACACTTTTAAAACCACATAAAGCTAATACGTCGAATTCATATTTTACGAGGGAGTGGGGGCATTAAACCCTTATAAATAGTACTATCTCCGTCCTACTAACATTGGGACATGAGAAGGTAGTGCGGTTATTAAGAAAAATGGATTTTTGTGGTTGATATTAAACTAATAAAGTAAGAATGATTTAGAACTACACAAAATTTTACCAAAGTTGGTATAAGACAATCTTAGTGGGACGAATCAGAAAAGGAAATATGAAACGATATTAGTGGGATGAAGGGAGTAGCATTTATTTTATTATAAAACGGACAACTTGTATTCAATAGCAGTAGATTTTCTCTCTCTACAATCCCGTAGGGGAACTACAACTGAGATGAGTGCAATTGGTCTTGGTGAAAATACAGATGCCACAATGTTAGTAGTAGATGATGAATCAGGTGGAATTGGTGGCATTGACGGATTATATTTTGATCTGAATACTAACATGTTCACACCGAGTCAAAATGCATCATTTTACCAGAGAGACTCATCATATCTTCCACAAGATGGTGGTAAAAATATAGAGGATCCACCTTCATCAAGCAAGACAGCTAAAGGAAAAAGGGGTAGAAATGATTTTGAGAACAATACAAGAACAAAGGAACCTAATGGTCACGTAGAGGTTATTGAGAGCTTGTCAATGAGTTCTAATAAAATTGTTCAGAGTTTTGATAAAATTTGTTATTTAATGGAGAAGAGAGAATCAAGAGAGGGTGATCTTTTGGATGCTATGAAGGAGACCCCAGGACTAACCGACGAGGACTGCTTTAGAGCTCTTGATTTGCTTAATATATATCAAAGCAAAACAAGATTTTTTTTGAAGATGATTCCTGAACAACGATATCGTTGGATCACTGGCCTATAAACATATGTATTAGGTTTATTTGCATTAGTGATAGAGTATCTGTTTGACATAGTATGGAGTTTCGTGCATTTTTAGGCTGTTTTTTTGCAAATTTTGGATGCTTTGATTATTCTTTATCAATTGTTAAAGTGATTT